CCCCTGGATCCTGGTGAGGAAGTGCCTCCTTCCGCAGCTGAGACTCACCGATGGTGTCCTGCACGAAATCCACATTCAGTTTCTGGATGATGGAGCTCAACGTTGGGCACACCTGAGGGGAACAGAAAGTGGGGACCAAATTGGGTGAGTTGGCAGTGGAGTCAGGTGAGGAAATCCCAGAAGAAGAAAAGGGAAGATCATTTTTGGAGACAGAAGCTGGTCACCTCAGAGATGCTCCTTGTGTGGGGCTTAGAAACCCCAACCCTGGGCCTCTAAAACAATGAAAACCCAGAGGAGCAACTCTGAGAACCACATCTAACTCCTCAGCATGGTAGAATCCAGACGGCAGAATCCAGAGCGCTGACGCACCAGAGCCGTGATGCAGAGGTCGGGAAATGGAACCTGGAGTTTTCAGATGTCACCAGGCCCTGTCCCTAGCAGTGTGTCCCATGAAGAGGGTGCAGTCCTGGGCCTCCTTACAATCCCCCTGTGATCAGCAGGCCAGGGCAGGTGTATGATGGGCAGCAGGCAGGATGAAACTCCAATAAGCTCCAGTGAGCCCAGGGCTCTGCAGACCTGCCCTGGGAGCCAAGGCCCCCATTAGGGAGGCAACAGCCCCCGGAAGGTTTCTGTCACACACCCAGTTTCCACCCCCTTCCAGACTAATTCAGAAACTGGGGCTTAGATTTTGGGTGATTTTCAATGAAAATACCCAATTTAATCATCTATTTATTTCACTATTAATTGCATGAAAGTGATATTAGTCACTATGTGCAAGAAAAATGATTCCTCTCACAAAATAAATGTTTTTATATGGAAGTAAGGGAGAATAGTGCTAATTTAGGAGAGAGACGCGACCAGGGCCTGCAGTGGAGGGACATGACCGTGGCTGACCAGGACCTGGACACTTCAGCAAACGGCGACGCCTGGTCCCCGTTTTCCCACTCTCGATCCCCAATGTATAATGGGGGCAGGTTTATAGTCCCATGGGGAGTTTGAGCCTCAGAGAAAGGTGTCCTAGAGTTAACCTGTGTCTGCCCGCTATGGGCCTGACCCGGGCATGGGGATGTTGGACTCACCAGCTTCTCTACCACCAAGGACAGAGCCTTGTCCACCAAGCCGGTTACACCGTCCAAAAGTGTGTTGATCAAACTGATTTTCCTGGAAGAGAGAGAGGGCACTGCTGAGGGCTGATCCCTGCTCGTGTGCGGAGGGGGTGAGATTGTCAGCAGCTCAGAACAAAGGCCGAGTGTGTGGAGCAGGGGCCGGTGGGTCAGAGCAAGAGGAACCAAGATGATGACAGGGAGGTTCCATCCAAACAGGAAGCCCAGGTCAGGGAGGGTGTGTGGCAGGGAGGAATGCCTCTCTCAGGTGTACCCCAAGACCAAGGTGCTGTGATGAATCCCCAGAACTGCAAGACAGCCAGCAGCACTCAGGTCTCCCAAGATGCCCCTGTGGCTCCATTTTTCATGGGGCTCGGGGTCTTCTTCAATCTGGGGTGTTTTAGGCAGCCTTGCTCTGAGGCGCAGAACTCACCACTTTGCAGGCCTCCTCTCTCCTAACCTGCCAGGGACACCCTCTTTCCTGTTCTGTGGTGCATGGACCTTACCTGCCCAGTAGGTTCAGCTGGATGCTGACTGGATTGACGGAGCACTTTCCCGGGACCACTGTGAGCTGGCCAGTCTGGGCATCCTTTCTAATTCTGACACCTCTCATGAGGTCCAACGAAGCCTTCAGGTTGACCAACTGGCCAATGACAGGCCTGTGGGGGGTCAGGGTCAGAGTCAGCCCAGTTCTAGAAACACCTGCTGTGCCCACTCATCCCTCACCTGAGTGAGCCTCATCCATCATCGGATGTGCCGACACCGTCCCCCTCCACATGGGCCTCACACATGACATGGAGTCTCCTCTCGGGCCTCGTGGGTTTAGTTCACATGAAATTTTTATGTAATACCACATTAATACCTAAAATATTTATGTTGAGATAACACTGAAACTGTGAATTGCTTTGGGTATGATGGCCATTTTGATACTGTTAATCCTTCCTTTCCATGAACAGAGGATGTCTTTCTATTTCTTTGTGTGTTCTATTATTTTTAGCAATGTTTCATAATTTTCATTGTAGAGGTCTCTCACCTCTTTTGTTTGGTTTATTCCCAAACATCTGAATGTTTTTGTTTCAATTATGAAAGGGGTGGTTTTCGTCTTCAGACTGTGTGCATATAGGAAAGCTGCAGATTTTTGTGTGCTGATTTTGCACCCTGCTAATTTACTCAATTCGGTGATTATTTTGATTAGTTTTTCTGACAAAGATTTACACAGAGCTAACCAGGCCCAATAAAGACAAAGTCAACAGCCCAGTAAAAAAAAAAAAAATGGGCAGAAGAGCTAAAAAGACACTTCTCCAAAAAAGCATGCAAATAGCCAACAGACATGTGAAAAGTGTTCAACATCGCTTGTATTCAGGGAAATGCAAATCAAAATCACAAACAGACACTACTTTATATCAGTGACAATGCCACATATTAAAAAGCAGGAAACACAATATTGGCAAGGATGTGTTGAAAAATTTAGTCCTCCTACACTGCTGGTGGGAATGCAAACTGGTCTGACCAATGTGGAAATCTGTGTGGAGGTTCCTCAGACTACTAACAAAGGTGCTTCCATGTGACCCAGCAGTTCCACACCTAGGCATCTACCCAAAGGATGCAAAAACATTACCCCTATATTTACTGCAGCAAAAACATAACCCCTATTTTTACTGCAGCCCTCTTTACAATGAGGAAGATGTGGAAGCAACCGAAATGCCCAAAAATGCATGACGGGATCAAGACGATGTGGTATATTTACACAGTGGAATATACTCAGCAGTCAAAAATGATAAACTCAAGCCCTTCACAGCAACATGGATGGAGCTGGAAGGAAAATAGGCCAGAAAGAAAAAAGAAAAGCATTGAATAGTCTCATTTGTAGGAACAATGTAGAAGAACCAAATAAGGAATCAGGCAAAAAATAAAATAAAATAAGTGACTACAATAAAGTAAATATGAAACCATCAGGCATCTCTACATGGACATTGTGTAGGGGAGCAGCAGGGAGAAGGACCAGGACCCGAGTCGGGAGGCACAAGCATCTATGGGCAGTGCGGTGTGGACCCAACTCCAGCAGGAGGGCGCTGGCCAGGCTGACGGCCTCTCCCCAGGTCCCAGATTATAACCGTACTTACAATTTCAGGTTGACATCGGCTGTGATGGGGGTCCTCATGTTAAGGCTTTGGCCATCAGGAGACAGTTCATATTTGGGACTCAGGATCCGAAGATTGCTGATTGTCAAACTGAACGAAAAACACAACTCACCCGTGTCATTGTTCATTTGGTCAGTGCTTCTCCATGTCAGCATCACATGGAGCACCCTGGCCTCACCCACTGTGCCATTTGGTCTTCACCATCACCCTTGATCCCCTCCAAGGTATAGCGGGGCGCCCTAGACTCAGCCTGATAGACTCACTCCCTCCCCCCTCCCTCCCTCTTTCTCTACCCCCTGCCTCCCTCTGTCCCTCCCTCCCAAGAGTCCAAAAAGGAGGAGGTTCCACAGCCACAGTTTGGACCCCTACTGTGGACTCCTAAATCCATATGTGAAACAACTGCATGGGGGTGAACTCCAAGTTCCTTTCTCTGGGGAGAGAGTTTCTGCAATTTGAGGGGTGTGGGTGCTCAGATATTTACCTACAGCTATATTTAGAAAAGAAAAGCTTATTCCTTGGGTAGGATATTCAGGCACCAGCCGTCATAGTAAAGACAAATTTTCCTCTGCTTCTGAAACTGCAAACATGGAGTCCCCAACCCAAGAGATGCCCAGTGGGGGCAGCCCTGCCTCTACTTAATGACGCTCTGGAGCACTTGGCCCCAAGCTGCCATGGCTCTGCAGGGAGGTAGCAGGTTTAGCCAGCTTCCTGTCTTTGATCTTAGATTTGATTCCACAAAATGTATATTCCCTTTCTGACACAAGCTATGCAACTGCTATCAACTGATAAATTCTGGATAGAGAAGGAAAAGCTGTGAAAATCAGAATTTCCACTGCTAACTTATGCTATGATGTCCCTTTTTTGAATACTCAAAATATCAAAGTATTCTGAGCAACCATCAGTTTACAACTGGATTGCCTTAGCCTCATAAGGAGGCTGCCTGGCCCAGGCAAGAGAGCGAGAAATTCCTATCTCCTGAGACAAAAGGCAAGCCCCAGGAGAAGTAAGAACCTCATAGCATAAAACCTCCTGGGAAGCTTCCTAAGTTTCTTTAAATAAAAAGCAAATCTCAGATAAGACTTCCAGGACATAAGGACTCATGGACAATTTTTAACCTTGTTTACACAGGCTTAATGCACAACTGTACAGCTTCCTCTTAATTTACTCTTTTTGAAAACAAGCACTAACTGCTCTCTTCTAGCCTTAAATTAGCCATTAGCTTTTCTTTAGACAATCACTGATAACACTGCCAACACAATTTATTACTTCCCTAACACTCCTAACAACCTATTGCTAACAACCTCATCCTTTCCCAGACCCCTCTTCCCTTGAGTTATAGCTAAACATCTGTACACATGACAGTTATCACAAAAATGTATAATTTAGTAAACCATAGAATGTTAAGAAAAAAATGTTTTGTTCCCCTGGTCCTTGAGAACATTTAGGACAATTTATGGCGATCTCTCATTAACTTACCCTAAGCATTATTGCAAGTAACTACTTGCTGCACAGTATAAAAAAAGACCTGCTGAGGGGATGGGCACCAAGACTTGCACCCACCTCTGACTCCCGTGTCTTCCTCGCGCCCGCTCCCCTCTTCCCTTTCGGAATCTCTGCTTGCCTACGCCTGTCCACCTTAGGGCCCGTCCTGTCTCACCTCCCTACAGCTCCATGTTGGGGCTGGTCCCCAACACCTTTCTTTGGAGCAAAGTTATGTACCAAGAAGCATCAACTCACCCCAAAGCTCGGGCTTCAGGTGGAAGTAAGTCATAAATGCCATTCTCCAACAAGTTCCCAGTTTGTGGGAACGCCTGTGTATCCTGTTGTAAAACGCTGGCATCCTGGCTGGCCTTCGGGTCAGGCTTCAGTTTGTCTTGGTCAGCTGACAAACAGAAAGGGCATTCAGGGCTCCGTCCCACTATGGAGCAGCTACCATGAATCGCACACTACACATGACGATTTGTGGATATCATTTCATGTGTGTCTCATAACTCAGTGAGTTTTCATTGTTAGTACAGAATTTTCAGGTGTGTAAATAAAGGATGAAAGAGTTAAGAAATGTACCTAACGTTACATAGCTCTGATATCTTGCTGTTCCATGCTCTCTTCATGCCCAAAGTAATGAATCAGCTATCAGGCTGATTTGAACTGATTGAACACCAGGTTCTAGTAGTGATTTAGCAGGCTATTGCTCTAAAGGTGATGTTCACAATGTTGAGTGTGACCAGACAGGGTCAGTAACGCAGCTACCTGTGTGACCAGATATGGGTGATAACACAATGGCCAGAACTGGCCTCGCATCAAGGTTTACAGCAACACGTCATCTTTCTAGAACCTGCAGCTAAAGCCTCTATAAAATACACTTTCCCCTACAGCACTCGCAGTAGCTGAGCACCCACCCTAGGGAGCTCCATCTCAGCTGCTGCCCCGGAGCAAAAAAGTCTACTTGTTCAGCCTTTCTGCCTCCCATCTTTCTTCCTGGTGGCAGGTCACAGCAATCGGGACAGAACACACAAGTGACCTAAGAAATGGAAAAATCTGGGCTCATGAAATAGTGTCTGGCTCCAACTCAAGAAAGTGACAACTTTGCAACAGTCTCCAGGGCACTAGCTCACCAGTTGGTGCAGGGTCCTGTGGACGTTCTCCTGAGAAAAGGGAAATTTGGGTAAAGGACTGGGTAGGTGAAAAAGAGACATATGAAAGAATTAAGGTTCTCCATACACAAAGAAATGCAAGTGAGAAACAATAAAGCAATTGCCAACTCAAGCAAAAACAAAAACAGTGCAAGTAGAGCTGTGTAAACGTAGGGCTACAGCTTGGCTATGCACAGGACAGTATCGACCTAGTGACAATGATGGCGATAGAGAACAACAAATTGAACTGCAGACTATACCTCAGCTTAGCTGACTGTGAAGCTAATATTTCTGTTTCTGAGCTCAGAGTTCACAGCAGTGAAATTAAAGAGCAGCTCTCTTCTGTATCTTTGAAGATTGCCTGAATCCCAGTAGCTGTTTTCTTTCTAAAGAATATTTGTTACTGTGTTGTAAATGTTTCCAAAGATGAGGAGAAAAGTAGAACTTTTAAGAAGTCAGAATAAAAACGAGATATGATGAAGTGCCACAGAACAGAGGTGAATTCTCAGCTATGAAGGAGGAGGCGGCATGCGGCGTCTAAGGGAATTTGCTGCAGGGAAGGCTGCGGAGATGCTGTGGGTTGCAGCTTTTCACTCGTTGCCTAAGCTTTTATGTGAGACATGAACAAAGGACGAAGAAAATAGCTAGCAAGTGTGTTTGTGCTTATCCCAATTATTAAGTGCTGCTGGAACAAGTTTTTCTAGTTACTAGGAGACATGCAAACACGGTAGTAGGTTATCAGAGACAGGAGTCCATGCTGGCGGGAAGTGTTGTTTGCAGACTTCTACCATCCTGAGACTCTGTATGCACAGGGGACAGGGACTCTGAGAGAACCCCAGCTGCCTGTAGGCACCAGGCTGCCTGCCATTAAGTTCAAAGTTAGGCGGCTTCAAGGCAAGGTA